GATCAAGTTGACGACACACAGATCCTTAAAAATGAATTGCAGTATGCATATATACCAAATCTTCACATGATTGTAATCTAGACAACTAATAAGAAAGAAAAAACTAATAAAACACGACTTGACTTTTACACTGGGCAATTCCCCTTTCTAATAAAAAATTCTTGACATTTCTTTTAAAAGCGAACTTATTTCCTGTATTTAAAAAAGGTTTAATTTCTGCTGGTAACATGTTCCAATCTTTGATTCCATTAAAATAAAAACATTCAGACTGTTTATGCTTAATTAATGGTACAACAAAATCTGCATTTGAGGCTGATCTAGTATGATAACTACTCAAATTTGACAGAAGTAAAAAAAATGTTCGTTAAGATAAGAAGGGGCTTTTCCTTGAAAACTATTAAAAACATGGTTGATTCTAAGCTGAGAGACTCTATCTTGAATATTTAATAAATTTAGTTGTTCAAGTATTTCATAATGCCCGTGGACCTAAATTTAAAATAAATCGAACCATCTTGTTTTGACAAATTTGTAACTTTTTCTTTAAAGTTTTGGAAAAGCCCTGCATACCAAGCACTACAGGCATAATCAATATGACATTGTATTAATGCTGAACACAGATTCATTTTACAAAAAGTATCTAAAAAGCGGGCTTGTCTGTACAGAAATCGCAATCTATTATTTACTTTCTAAACAATCGATTCAACAATGCATTCACCACTTTAACATTGTCAATCAAAACTCCAAGATATATAACATTTTCTTTACAAACAATATTATGGTCATTACATACAACCTCGAATTTTTCAACATTTTGAAGCTTTCTTTTGGAACCAAATAAAATGCATTCAGTTTTACCTAAATGTAATGATAATGTATTATCTACAAGCCAATGCGAAGTCTGGTCTAAAACTTTACTAAGCTTTTCTGATATAAAATCAGGATCTTTATGAGCAAATAAAATAGCACTGTCATCAGCGTATAAAATAAGTTTACAATCTGCGTCAACACTAGTTGCCATGTCATTAACGTAAATTAAAAATAATAAAGGGCCTAGAATACTGCCCTGAGGTACACCACATGTGATAATACCAGCATCTGATGAAATTCCATTGCTAAGAACAAACTGTTTTCTTTCAGACAAATAATATAAAAACCAATCAACAGACTGTACACCAATTGCTTTGAATTTTTTACAAAGTATGTCATGGTCAACAGTGTAAAATGCCTTTTGTAAATCAAGCATAACCATTCCAGTATATAGTCCCTTTGCAGTGTTATCTCTAATAAAATCAAATAAATGTATCAAACAAGATTCAGTGGAATACTTACTTTTAAAACCAGATTGAAACTCATATAGAATATTATTACGATCTAAGAATTTTGAAAGTTGCATATGAACAGATCTCTCTAAAATTTTTGAAACAATACTTAGAATATTAACCGGTCTATGATTACCTACTTCTAGTGAACTGTTCTTTTTGTGAATAGGTTTTACCCTTGCTGTTTTCATATCTTCAGGAACAATGGAAGAACAAATAGATAAATTTAAAATATATATGAGAGGTATCTTAAGAAAATCAGCTCCATCACGAATGAACCTAGATGGAATATCATCAGGCCCCGTACTTTTAGAAGGGTTAAGTTTTAGAAGTTAATTTTATACAAAATTTTCATCGACTGTTTTCAAAGTAAAAAGATTGTCGTTTTTTTGGAATAAAAAAGATATAAAACATTCACTGTCTACACTAAAAATATTTAAAGGTTTCGGGAGTTTGCTTACAATTGAAGCTGCAATATTTACAAAAAAATCTTTAAAATGATTTGCAACAGATTTTCGTTCATGATAAATTTCATCATCAATTTTTAAACAGACATTCCTACTGTCCTGACGTTTATTTTTTAGGCCAAGGTCTCTTAGGCTCTGCCATCAATTTTTCGGATTATTTTTGTTTTCTTCGATTTTACTAGATATATATTCTGTCCTTGCAACTTTAACGTCTATCTGTATTTCATTTCTGATTTTGCAGTAGCTCTTGTAGTGCTCTTCCTGTTTTGTTTTCTGTATGTATATAGTAAGGAATCTCTTTCTCGGATCTTTTCGAGGATGGACGATGTTATCCACGGTTCAGTTCTTTGCTTTAGTCTAACTTCTTTGACCGGTGCTACTTCATCTAAAACCATTTTAAAAGTATGTTGAAACGCCCTCCATACTTGATTGACACATGTAGAAAAATTTTGGGTCCAATCTGCTTCAAGTATTTTGGTCAGAAATATTTCGGGGTTATAATTTTTTAAAGTTCGTATAGTAATGGATTGATGTGATTTAAAATGACCTTTCGAGATCCTCCTTGAACAAAATATAGCACAATGGTCACTCAGTCCAATGGGTATGGTTCCAAACTGAGAAATGTTTTCTTTTCTGTTGGTGATGATATGGTCAATTATAGTTGATGTTGATTGTGTTATTCTAGTTGGTTCGTCGATGATCTGATATAAGTCAAAAAGATTCAAGACATCTTTATATGATTTAAGAATACTATTCTCACTGGAATTTTTAAAATCTATGTTAAAATCTCCTAAAATGTAGGTTTCGCAGTCGCTTCGTAGCATTTGTAGATTCTGTTCAAAATACTCTAGAAAATTGGACTGGCAAGGTGGTCTGTAACACACTCCAATTTGAATTGGTTTGGTCTTTGGTAAAAATAGATTAACCCATATTGACTCTTGGTCCTTACTGTTGTTTATACCTTCCAGCTGTATAAAGGCATATTTGTTGTGTATATATAAACAAACACTACCCCCTGTTCTATTCCTATCACGTCGTAATATATAACCTTCAATGTTAATTTCCCCATCAAAAACCGAATGATCTAGCCATGTCTCACTGACTGCTATGACTGAAGCTTTCGATTTTGTAGCAAAAATTCGTAGTTCTGAGATTTTGGGTAATAAATACCTCACGTTTAGATGTACAAAATGCATTCCTTTCTGATTGAAGCACTGAAAGTGTGATTCGTCAATATTGGAGGGCTTGTTGACGTTTGTTGGCCCAGGATTTGAGTGAATATCTCCACATATGATAAGAGAGACGACATAAGAACAGTTATTTCGTTCAATATATCATAACATTGCTGTACTGGCCTCTCATAGACAATAGTTTGTGACCCAAATAAATCTGACGAGTGCTCGAAAGTGAAAATGACACATATTGTTGAAAACTTGCTTTTCTCACAGAAATAATAGGTGTTTTGCATACATTTTGCTTCATATGAATACAAAAATGAGTCTGCTAATAAATAGCACAAACTTTATCTTGTTATTTAGAATTTAAGCTTATTTTACTTTTACCGAATCTTCTTAATTAAATAATTTTAGATAAATGTGACTCCTTCACCTGCAGACAACTCATATGTAATCAGTACCAAGTGAAGATCTGTGACAACGGAATGTGTAAATGTCAACTCAATCCTTGTAAGTTTTATTTCATCTGCTTTATTATGTCAATCAAATAATTGAAATAAGAGAAAGATGTTTTATATAATAAATTTTTAAATGTGATCACATCTTTAAAGTTTTTAATTTGTGATTTTTTAATTGCTAAAAATTGTCGTTTAAAAAAATATAAAATCCTTTTAAAGTACTTCATATATTAAAGTCTAAATAAGAAAAAGAAATGAAATCGTCCAATTCGGGTGAAGTTAAAATTAGTTAAACTTAGTCAAATATATATATTTGGGAATTTGTTTATACATAACTCCGCTCACCCTTAAGGGACTCCGGCCTTCAGCCAGGAAGGACAACTCTTTAATTTATAACTTAATTCAAAAATTCTTTAAATGATTCTTGAAAATTAATTTTTTTCATGCAACAATTTTTATAGTATGCCTCTCAATGTGCTTCAAGGTTCTTTGCAAAGCTCCATAAATTACTTCTAATTTCATATCATGTTAATAAACATTGGTATCTAGAAATACTTTTTGGGATAAAAATTTATACTTTTAATTAGACCTTTCTGAGAAGTTCCAAGAACCTTTCAGCATATTGAGAGGCATATAATGAAAATTGTTGCATGAAAAGATTTAATTTTCTAGCTTCAGTAAAATACTTTTTGAATTAAATTATTAATTAAAGAGTTGTCCTACCTGGATGAGGATCGGGGTCCTTTAAATAAATAAAAAGTATCTATACGATATGAGTCGTTTACCCATCTCAATACTGAAATGCATTAAAATATTTTGCGTTATCTCCAGCGTTGTATACAATTAAATTTCTTTATGATTTGAATTTTTTTCAAAATCTTAAAATAATTATTTGCTTTTACTTAAAAAGTTATGAAAAAATGTGAAATATATCATACAAAATACAAATCAAATCTCCTTAGAAATATTTTTTCAAATAATTTAACAATGTAATCACTTCAAAATTACAATTTTAATTCACGGAAACTCATGATCACTCGGTAGAGCACTCGGGAGGTCGTGAGTTTGAATCCTCGGCCGCAACTGGTCGAAGTCGATTAAAAATTTGTACAAATGTAGTAACTGTTCCTTCGACATGTGCTCGGCAATTGAAGGGAAAGTTCTTGGTCTTTCGAAAGAGACATTAAAAACCGGGGTTGCATGTCACGGTAGGCGTTAGCACGATAAAGAACCCTCACTGTTCAATGGATCTAGGTGTAGTGTAAAAGTAAAAATCTGAAGCCCATCACTCCAATATAAGACGTCTCCTCATGATAGAAAAATTCTTGAATGGGACGCAAACATACATGTGTAAACAATCAATCAGTGAATCATACTTACAATTTGAAACATCATGAGCTAGATAATCTTTGAGCACCCATCCCTTCCATGCACGTATAATAACAAAGTCCATATTTTGATAATGGAAATAGAAATGTTTATAATTGGATAAATCGATAAACAATCTGGTAAGAATTGTTTATATGTAAGTAACGAGATACTTATTGCAGACTGTTTCTTTAAATTAATTTCCTACAGCCTGTGATGCAAATCTAGGACTGAATGACACTTGTACTACTTCCAACACAGTTTTAGAAGAAAAGGACTTGGATGGGACCAAACGCTATAGAAACTGTACAGATGATAACCTTTTTCCTATTTGTGTGGACGGGCGATGTCAGTGTATATTTTGGAAAGTATGTGGTTCCTTCTGTTTATTTGATTGAGTTTTTTTTTTTGTATTGTTTGTTTGTTTCTTGTTGTTATTTTAGTCGTTAGATCATTATATAAACTGATATCATTCTTCAGAAGCTCGCATCATCTAAATTTGTCTAACAAAAAAAATCTACAGAAAGTAAGCTTTTTGCATGTATTTTTTCTTAATCGAATAAAATTTACCTTTGAGAAAAGCTTCAAACATTGCAGAACGGAGGACCCGTCTGCTCTGTACATACATGTATAAGTTTATTTTTGGTGTTTGGGATTGAGATGGGAAATCCTTTTACTTCCGGTTCTATTTAGTTTGTGTACTGATGATTTGTAAGAGAATCTTTGAGATAAACGTTTTTTTTTTTATTGAAGAACATCTTACCTGTGAATTTTTGATGCATAGTAGTTCGTAAATAACAGAACTGACATAATTACGTGGAAAAGGTATAGTTTATTTATATCTTAATTATTCAAGCTACATACAAAAAATTCATTACTGTGTCGACAGCAAAATCTGTTTTTAAAGTTGATATTTTGCACTCTGATTTGTGCGTTTATATATCACCATCTCAATAATCTCAGTCTGCGTTGATAAATATTGATAAACATATATTTTAGGTCATTCATTTAGAGTATGATGATATATGCAGAGACTTACCAAAGTTTTTGGGACATAGATAACAGCTTTCAACTTTTTTTACCAAGAATTTAGAAATCATTTTTTTTCTAAATCAATAATAATAATTTCTATTCATTTTCTGATGTAATTTAATTTGTTAATTTTTTTTTCTATACTCTGGAGAATCTGCCCTATTTTTTTCCTATGCATTAAAAACAATCAAATCAATCTATCTTTTACGTCTTTAAATATCTTAATTCTTTAAAACATAATTTTGAGTGAGTAAAATCTGTGTGCTTGTTTTCTGAGCTTAATTATATGTGCCAGAAGATCACTAGAAATGCAAATTTTGTTTTGCTACTTTTCAACTACTTATCAAAACATTAAAAATAAATTGCTTTTTTTCATTTTAAATTATATTTCAATCGCTTGACAGTTTTTAATTGTTGATATGATGCTTGTTTAAAATATAATGCCCAGTAATATAAAAGCATAAACTGGGGTTTGTGGAGGCCCCTTAACAGATATATATTGTTGTAAATACCATATAAATAGATCATTTTTTTATGATAGCAAGAAAACACATCCAAAACTCAAAATATTTTAACATCATCATGAATTCGTGAAAAAAATTAGACTCAGTTTTAATGAGATAATAATATATTATTGAATAAAAATATTGTGTCAAGCACTTGCATACGAAAGCCATGAAGGGACACGTTGATTTTTCAAAAAAGTAAAAATTAATTGAGATCTCGAATTACACAATCCGTTCCCACAGATTACCTATTCGTTCCCTCGATTTATAATTCGAGATCTCGAAATACACAATCCGGTCCCATGGATTATCAATTCGTTCTCACAGATTATCAATTCGTTACCTCAAATAACACAATCCGTTATCTTGAATTGTAATTCATTCTCTCAGTTGAAATAATTCGTTCCCTCGGAATGTAAACCCTTCTGACGATTTCATTGATATCAGCTATCTGTCGATATCGGATATGGCAATACATGTTTAATGTATAGAATATTGTAGGTATTTAGATCCTACATTTTAATACATATTACGGTCCAAAATGAGAAAATAACATGAACCTGACTCAAATCTATATTCTAGTACTGATATTTATATAAAAAAGTCCTGGGTTTTGTTTTACGTGTATATTATAATAATTGAAAGTCCTATACATTAAAAGTAAATATGGCTCCTGTGTAATTGTTTTTTATCTAAATAAAATATACGTTGAATTAGTTATAAAAGAGGTTCGAAACGACTGCGTTTGCTGAAACAAAATACATAAATCGCATTAATTGATTCAAATTGTTGGATTTGAATGTATCCAACATTACATAATTATATACATATATACATGTAATAAATTCGCGAGCACTGATTGCCAAAATCATAAGACTGATATTACAAATCGAGATCTCGAATTTATAATCCGTGGGATCGGATTGTGTAATTCGAGATCTCGAATTATAAACCGAGGGAACGAATTAATAATCCGTGGGAACGGATTGTGTAATTCGAGATCTCAAATTCATTTTTACTTTTTTGAAAAATCAACGTGTCCCTTCATGGCTTTCGTACTTGCAATCTAATAATGTAATCACTGCTTCAATGAACTTCAAATGTAGTTAAAAATAAATCATTTGGTTCACATTTGTTGTTTCTGTGCTCGAATGGAAATGAATGGACGGCTTTTATAAGGACTAGCTTACATACATGTTATAAAATGATACAACTGTGGGTAGAGTTTAACAACGTTAACAATAATAAATATAACTGTTAATATAGGTGATGAGAAAAAAGTGTATGCAACACACAATAGAACATCAATACCAAATACCAAAGAATATTGACGTATAAAAAAACTAGTGAAAATTAAGACCAACCTCTTAACACTGCATTTTAAAAAACCCACATTATCCCTCCTCTGATGATGATACAGGTCCGTGTTTGCGTTTGAATTTATATTTCTTTGTATGTTATTTTACCTTTCAAAATATGATTATGTTTTTTAGACACCATCACCTCCAGCATGGACAACGACGGCCACCACAGCAGCTATAAATGGTAAGCGATATACAACAAAAAAACACCAAAATGAAAACTTAGAAGTCATGTTTTTGTCTTCGAATTAACACCCCCTCTCCTGATAATCAATTTTAAAAATATTCATTTATTGAAGCTTCTAAATCCCAGAAAGCAAGACAACGTAGGGCGAACGTTGGCAAAGGTTGTATGGTTGGCGTTTGGGGAACAACGTTGGGCCAACGTTGGATCAATGTTACCGTGCCAACATTCTCGACTATGACAGAATTCCTATGTAGGCCCAACGTTGGTCCAACTTTAGCAACTTCCATTCACTTTACTTCCCAAGGAAGGAGGGATGTTGATGTTGGTCCAACGTTGGACCAATATTGCTAATACACCCTTAAAGAAAGATTAATCTTTTAAAGTTGGTAGTAGTATGTTGACCCAACCTTGGCCCAATGTTTGTAATACACCCTTATAGAAAGAATCTTTTAAAGTTGGTAGTACTTTGTTTGCCCAACGTTGGTCCGATGTTTGTAATACATCCATACGCGTTTTATGAAGTTGATAGTAGTGTTGCCCTAACGTTGTCCAAATGTGGGAAATACATCCTTAAAAAGTGTCTTATTGAGTTGGTAGTAGTATGTTGGCCTAACATTAGCCAAATGTTTGTAATACCCCATAGAAATGTCTTATCAATTTGGTAGTAGTATGGTGGCCCGATGTTAGCACAAGTGTTCTTTTGTTTAGGTGTTTTAAAGATGGGATATTTATATTGGGCCAATTTTGGCCCGATTATTATACTGCCAACTAAATGATAATGTCAATTTTAGCTGCTGAGCTTTACGTTGGGAATAACGTTGGTTCTTAATTTAGATGCACATTCTGAAATAAATAAGAGACCATTCTTATCCATGCTTTTAATTGGATGACTGTTTTTGTTTAGATCTGATATTTTCAACATTTTAACTTTGAACTTAAGTGATCACAGCAACAAAGAGCTTTTTATTTTTATTTTTTGAATTGTTTGCATGCATGTTTATATATCTGAAATAAAACCCATGAAATTATGTCTTTTTTCATGTTCGAGGGTTGTATTCATGATAATTTAGAAAAGAGTGAATAAGTTCTCAGAAAAAGGATGTGAATGATGTGTGAACCAATGAGAAGGAATAAATGTCTTTTCTTAGAATTTATTTACTGTTTTGAAATTATCAAAGAATACAAAAGATGATCATAAAGTGGTGAAAAGCAAAGATTAACATAGATCGTCGGAGATCGTATTTATAATGTACAATACATAATAGTCATTAGCATATACTAAATCCTGGAATTCTGACAAAACAATTTATAATTTAAACAAAATTTTGTGTAATCTAGTCGTCAATGTCCTGGTATTATGCAAAAGTAGTATCACTTTAATATAATCTTGAAGAATGTTACGTTATTGTTCCTCTATTGATGTCTTTATATAGAGAAACATCCTGATACGTTATATATTCTTTAATCCGATTAACTGGTTTGTTAACGTTATCGGAAAAAGTCTTATACTTCTGTATCCTTTTTGAATCAGGGGTCAATACACTTGATAATAAGTACATTGAAAATAATTGATATTGTTTATTTTACTAATTAAAATATTTGTCTCAAACCCCATAGGTTTACAGAAGCCTACATATACATAAATCAAAATGACACAGCTTTATAATTAAATTTAAACAAAAGTTAGGCATTCGCTAAAGCGTGGGGAAAGGAAACACCAAGCTGTTGTGGCCTGATAGACTGAAAATGCACGGCAAGCAAGAAGAAGTGAAATTTATGTGGATTATACACTTGCTATAGCTGCATTTAAAAGCGATGTAAGTATATTTATTCTTATTTAGTCAGGTTAACTGTAAAAATTTATTCGGAATTCATTCTTTCCATGTTTTGCACACTTGCATTGTAAGTAAATGTAAATACAAATACATTCATATGTGTATACAGTTTGCAAATACAGGTATTTCAAACTTTATTTACAATAACTTCATCAGATCATTAAGAAATTTAATGATAAACAAGTCAAATAACATCTTTTATGTTGTTTCTATCTACAGTGTAATTCTTAATTGTCTATTACAGACACGATTGTAACAAGGAAATTAAGGCGCTAATAGTATGACACATAATTCTCTTTATTTTAAGTATTATTTATTCATAAGATGGACAAGTAATTGCATTATTTCTAATATCAACCCATTTTGTTTTTTTTTTCAGTCAGAGACTGCAAGGAAAACAAATGTTGTGGCGGTAAATAACAATGAAATCGAAGAGCATAAAGAAGTGTGTAAAGTACGAGTACGTACGACAAAGATCAAGATGAAGAAAAGGGGAGGTGACGAAGGGACGGAAAAAGAGCGGGAATACAACAAAAAGATAGTAATAAAGGAAGTAGACCCTGATTAAGAACTTTGAATTGATAAGTTTTAATAATTTACCTCTTTTGTCTATTTTAAACTTTATTTTGTAAATTATGATTGAATCGATGTATATAAAATATTTTCACAGTGAATCATTAGTAATGTTTTCATTGAACATGTCCATGTATGCATTATGAATCCAGATTGAATTGTTTATTATTTTTTTAAACATTCATAAATTAGGTTTTTATAAAAAAAATCATTTAACCATTTGCGAATGTTTCATTGTAATAACTACGTTGGCCCAACAATTTGCCATCTGACATTGTAAAAAAAAGGGGTCAACATTGGGCCAACCTAACCAACCAGTTGTTAAGGTTGGCTGTTAGTTGGCAAACACTAAAAACTACGTTGGCCCAACAATAAGCCATCTGACATTTCAACATACGTCCAACATTGGATCAACCTAACTAACCAGTTGTAAAGGTTGGCTGTTAGATGGCATACACTAAAACTACGTTGGCCCTTCAATATCCCATCTGACATTTTAACATAAGGCCAACGTTGGGCCAACCTAACCAAACAGTTATTAAGGTTGTCTGTTAGTTGGCATACACTTATAACTACGGTGACCCAACAATATGCCATCTGACATTTCAACAAAGGGCCAACGTTGGGCCAACCTTATCAACCAGTTATTAAGGTTGGCTGTTAGTTGTCCAACACAGTTGACCAACGTAAGGTTACCAACAGTTGGCCAACATTGGAAAAAATATTGGGCAAACGTTGGCCCAACTATGTCTTGCCATCTGGGATGTGAGAGTTAATTACGAAATAACTTGTCCATGAACTTATTCAATTTTGCTTACCAACGAAAATTGACACCCTCGTTTTTAATTGATTTCACAGTTTTAGAGGGAAAAAATAATTCTCTCGCAGTCCAAAAAATTCTTCAAAAATTAATATTGGCTACGCTTACATGTAGTTACAGAAAGGGACATTATCAGGGTATTTTTTCCCAAGGATTAATAGGATTCAAATTCTTGTTGACAATAGAAATGTTAAAGTCATCATGTTTATCATAAAGCTTGGTTGTTAGATTACCATTAACGTCCTCTTCAAGTAAAATATCTAAATACTGGTATAAAACAGATGTGTCAGACTCTTTTGTATCTATTATTTCAAGCTCACCGGGATATATCGTGTCGACATAGGAAATGTTAATTGTTAATTGACAATACGTCGTCGATATATCGAGTTGAAGGTCGCAAAAAGTGTTTTCTACTCTTCACGCATAAGAGTTTGCACACATTTTGCTTTATATGAATACAAAAATGAGTTTGCTAATAAAAAGTACAAACTTTATCTTCTGTTGTGATCTGTAATTTAAGCTATTTTACCTTCACCGAATCTTCATAATTTAATAATTTTAGATTGGAATTTAAGTTATTTTGCCTTCACTGAATCTTCGTAATTTGATAATTTTAGATAAATGTGACTCCTTCACCTGCAGACACCTCAGATGTAATCGGTACGAAGTGAAGATCTGTGACAAAGGAATGTGTAAATGTCAACTTAATCCATGTAAGTTTTATATCCATCTGCTTTATTAGGTCTATCAAATTATATCTTAAGAGAAAGATAATGTTTTATTTCGGCTTACCACAAGCAGTAATTGTGCATATGAAGTTACTCGTATTTTACCAACACTATTTTTGTCTTAAAATGCCAACCAATATTTAGGAAATAAAGATATTGCACAATATTTTACTATAGAACCTTTCAACTGTAAAATAACAGAAGTGTAAACTTACATCTTCATTCACATTGTCAACTCAATCCTTGTAATTTTTATTTCATCTGCTTTATTATGTCAATCAAATAATTGAAATAAGAGAAAGATGTTTTAAATAATAAATTTTTAAATGTGATCACATCTTTAACGTTTTTAATTTGTGATTTTTTAATTGCTAAAAATTGTCGTTTTAAAAAAATATATAAAATCCTTTTAAAGTACTTCATACATTAGAAGTGTAAACAAAAAAGAGTTGAATTGTCCAATTCTGGTGAAGTTAAGATTAGTCAAACTTAGTTAAATATATATATTTTGGAATTTGATTTTACATAACTCCGCTCACCCTTAAATAAAACAACAGTATTTATACGATATGAGTCGTTTATCCGTCTCAATACTGATATGCATTTAGATATTTCGCGTTATCATATCCAGCGTCGTATGCAAATAAATGTCTCTTTGATCCGAATTTTTTTTCACATTTTAAAATATTTCTTTGCATTAAATTAAAAAGTAATGAGAAATGTTATTATTTCAACCTATATCATACAAATACAAATTTTATCTCCTTAGAAATATTTTTTCAAAGAAATGAAACAATGTTATCGGAATATCACCTGAAAATTACAATTTTAATTCACGGTAACTCATGATCACTCGGTAGAGCACTCGCTCCGTGATCGGAAAGTCGTGAGTTCGAATCTCGACCGCAACTGACCGAAGTCGATTTTTGTAGCAACTGTTCTTTTGACATGTGCCCGGCAATTGAGGGGAAAAGTGTGGGGCTTTCGAAAGGGACATTAAAAACCGGGGTTGCATGTCACGGTAGGCCTTAGCACGATAAA